AATTTATATTCAGGGAATTGCTTATACTTTTCAAACTCTTTTTCCCATTGAGAATTAGTAATTGGAGGAAGCACACCCGTAATTGGTTTCCATTCTACAATTGAAAGTCCACTTTCGGTCAGCCTCGTTAACCCACCCAACACAACTATACCAAAGACTAATCCTGAAGTCCCCAATAACCAATATCCAACAATGGGCTTGGTAGAATTTTGCGCAGAAATAGTTTTTGTTCGTGATCCCACATAATTAGGATTACTCAGTGTGTCATATAATGCACTTCTATTAGACGAAAAAAAATTCGAAGAAACTGCCAAGGGACTTCTGTTTAAATTAGCTAGTCGCGTACAAGCATGTATCTGTTTGCTTTGGTGGTAGAATTTGGAGTAGTATTGACCAAAGAACTGTTTATTCTTTCCTGCAATAATTTTAGTTTTCCACCTTAAATTAGAATTTATCAACTTTCCTCTTGGGAAATTACAAAATAATCTCCCCGAATACATCGGGAACAAGATTTTATGATCTTAAATTGATTTTTTTTTCCCACGATTATATAAATACATCTTCATATGCAGTATATCGAGTTCATAAATGTAAAATTTCTATTTTTCATTATATATTTGATTTGAGCGAAACGCCAACTATTTAAAAACTTCCGACAGAAGATCGAATGATAGATATTCTCGTTATAATGTTTAAGTTTTTTGCTTGTATTTATTAAAACAAAATTGTTATGCAACAACTAGGGACGTCGAAAAGTCCTATACGGTTCGGAGGATGCGTCTTAATTTTAAAAACTTCTATGTTATATTAAATAAACCTCAAGTGAAAATTGATTATATTCATGTTATTTATTAGATTGTTTATTAAAAACTGATTTATAAAATTTTACCAAGATAAAATTCATTATACTGTATGTAGTTTGTTACCACTTTTTAATTTCATATTATTTTCAATACCTTTTAAATATTTTAAAAATATTAATTACTATTGAATAAATTTATAAATTTGCAAATAATGTTATAATGTTATTTAGTAAAATCCTTTTTCAATATATCATTATACTGTTATTACAAACAGATTGTTATTTAACTCATTATATATATATACTTTGTATTTATTTATTTATTTATTTTTATAATTTATAATTTCAAAATTATATTATATACTGTATACTGTATATATACGTTAATAATAAAAATTTTTTTAATTTGAATTATTAAATATCAAAAGATAAACTCACGTGATATAATATGCCGACTTAGCTGTAATAAAAAAAAAACTTTTTTTATGTTTTTAAAACACGAGCATATACTTAAAATGTTCAAAATCAATCGCCGAAGCGACTATCCCTACTAACGTAAACATGTAACACGCTTTTCATTGGCTAAATTACATTTTAAGCTCTTACGTGATCATATTGAGTTTTAAACAGTACATACTGCGAGTTTGTTTACCAAAACATTGTGAGAACTGTTTATCCCTTAGTCCTATATTTAAAGCACTCTCGTTTACAAGCAACACGAAAAAGTCCAAGTCTTAACTTATAAGTTTTCGACTTTAACACACTGGTAAAAAAACCCTAAGCTTCATACCTAATTTTATAATGACCGACGTAGAACAAGGACCACCATCACCTACCCAAAATGAAGTCTTGGCAGTTCAAGAGTCTCAAGCGGTCGAGAAATCAAAGAAAAGAAAGCACGATGGTAATACACACACTACACTCGTTGATAGACCTCGACGACAAGTGCACCCTGTTATTCCTTACTCTCAAATGGCGGAGGCCAAGTCACGTACAAGAAAACCCGTTGAAGTTGTACAAGGTGAAGGTATCCCTCTTGGTCAAATATCGCCAATAGCTCGAGCTATCGACAGACTCAAGACGACTGACGACATGATCAAAGGACTACATAAGTTGCTTTACGGTAGGGTCGGAGCAAAACACGATATCAAGTCTCATATCCGCGCGTTTTCAGGCTTCGTCTTGGGGACTCCGATAGATGAAATGGTTTTCAAAGAAAAACTTGAAAAATGGAAAATATCAGGGTTAAAAGACATGTGTTCACTGTTTAGTCTTAAGTCCTCGGGTGATAAAGCCTCCGTTGTTGAACGACTTTTCGAATTTTTGAAGAAGCCTTATGACACCTCCGGTCCTAAAGATCGAAAATCAAAAAAATGCCAAGAATAAAAAGACCAGTACCTCTAAAACCTCGAAGAAATCCGCAACTGTAAGAAAAAAAACACCTAAGGACATATTCTTCATCAAACAACGGGAAATCTTTAAGGCAAAGGAAGGAAATGAATCTGCATCTAGATCCGAAGTCGAAAAACAGATGACTGAGGCTTGGAATGATTTGTCAGAAAAGGAGAAGAAACCATACATCTCTCTAGCTGAGAACGCGAATAAGTCAACTATTTC